ATAGGCCCTGTCCACTACCACTCTCTGGGTGCGGCCCCTCAGCCAATTTGTGATCCAGATGACTGTGTAGGCACCAATGCCACAGTCGCCTAGCTTCTTAATGAGAATGGGGTGGGAGACATTGTCAAAGGCCTTCCTGAAGTCCAGAAAGACTACATCTACTGCGACACCTGCGTCCAATGATTTTGTGACCTGATCGTAGAAGGCAATCAGGTTGGTTTGACAGGACCTGCCCCTAATGAACCCATGCTGATTGCCCCTGAGCGTCATCCCCCCTGCTGGTCCTTCCCAGATGTGTTTTGGATAATCTTCTCAAAGAGCTTCCTCAGGATCGAAGTAAGGCTAACAGGCCTATAGTTGCCCGGGTCCTCCCTCCTCCCTTTTTTGAAAATAGGGACCACATTGGCCTTCTTCCAGTTGTCTGGCACCTGGCCAGAGCACCACAAGTGCTCGTAAAGCTGTGCCAGGGGCCCCTTGACAACCCCTGCCAATTCCCTCAACACCCTGGGGTGGAGAGCATCTGGACCTGCTGACTTGAACACGTCCAGCCCCTCCAGAAGTTCCCTAACTCGGTCCTCCCTGACCCTAGGCCTGGTGGAGTCTCTCCTGAGTCCGTCCTAAATCTCAGTGGGGGAGTCCCAGTCCCTGCACAAAAAAATGGAGGCAAAGAAATTGTTAAAAAGGTCTGCCTTTACCTCTGGTGCAACTACCAGATTGCCAAGCGTATCCCGCAGGGGCCCCACTTTACCTGGTACTTTCTTCATACTCCCTATGTATTTAAAAAAGGACTTTTTTTGTTGTACTTGATCCTTGATGCTATCCCTAGTTCTGTATCTGCTGGTACTTTCTTCATACTCCCTATGTATTTAAAAAAGGACTTTTTTTGTTGTACTTGATCCTTGATGCTATCCCTAGTTCTGTATCTGCCTTAGCTTTCCTAACAGCCCCCCTACAGACCCAAGCGATGGAGGTGTACTCCTCTTTGGTGATAGCCCCTCTCTTCCACTGGGTGTAGCCTCCTTTTTGGCTTTCAGGCCTTTGGTGAGCCAGGGGGGCTTTTGAGTACTCTTGCCCACTTTGATTGTCGTTGGGACTGTCACCCCTTGGGCTTGGAGGATCGTCTCCTTAAGGAACGACCACTTGTCTTGGACACCCAGTTCCCCAACTCTCCAGGACCCCAGTGCCTCTCCTACCAATCTCCTCAACTTTCTATTTCTCTGAAATTTTCTTTTCATGCTAACATTATTTTTCCCCTACTGCAGTTCCAATCCATCACTCATTGAAATCAAATGGGAATTTTGCCTTACTTGGAAAAAAGAAAGAAGGATCACATTGTCTCCTTCTAGTATATAGTTTTGACTCACCCATAGACTGAGCAAAGCATTGATCTTCTGCCAGAACAGTTACAAAGTCTGTGAAATTCACCTGCCCATCACATGCAAGGTGTCAGAACCCATTGTTCATATGCCTATAGTACAGTGGAAGATTCCAGAGTTTGTTACAGAAGGCAGTCTGTCAATCATTTTGTAAGTAGGTCACGAGTGGAAAACTCCAGAGCCCAGTGACTATATATTAATGACCTAGAAAAAGTTCCTGCCAATTTGCAGCTTCTTTGCACGGTGCATTTCTTTTGCATCTAAGAAATGCTCGGTGCAAAGAGTTCCCGCCATTTGTATTCTAATTCGAGCCCCATTATTGGCTTGCGTGAAATTATGCACACGTGGCGGCTAGCGATTGGCTTGCTAGCTGTATAAAAAGCTTGAGCAGTCTCCGCCCAAGTTGGAGGACTCCACATACATCTCGTGGAGAACTCTGAGTACACTGTGGAGCCTAGCAAACTCCACGCGTTTTTCAGAGCGAACTTAGTGGCCTGATCAACCACTAAGGACTCCCCGTCACCGACCCAAGGGGGCCTAGCACACCCCCACCCGAGACGTAAGACGACTGCCGGCCCGAACACCCTGAACACATCTGCAGACCGACCAACATCTTTGTAATTTCTGCCCGACCCAAGTTTGTAACCGTAACCGAAGCAAGCATCTGACCTGCACTGTACGAGCAGTGTAAGTAAACAACCTTTTGTTTAACCAAAATGCTTGAGTACCTGATTCCACCCCAAGCGTCACAAGTACCCGCCCACCGATTAGGGCTCCTAAAGCCCCGAACCCCGCGCCGTGGCTCTCGGCGGCGACACAAGGGAAAAGACAGCTCAGACAGGGAGGAAACTAATAACATGCACAGACAGTGTGAACTATTCAAAGCAGCAAACATGAAAAAAATTAAAAAATAAGCATATTATTATGAATATTTTTAGAATTGCTCCTACAGCTATACTGCATTTTCATATTTCTATGCATTTTTTTATTAACCAGATGCCTTGTTGTGCCGATAGTTGTATCCTACTAACAAAGAAAATCAAGTTGCAGAATGAAGAGAAGGAACAATCAAAGGAATAGGAAAATTGAAAAACAAAAAATATAAAACAGGTTTAGTTTTGCATATGTAAATAGAAGGTCTGAACTTCAAGGATGCTTAGCACTTCTAACAATGAACCTACAGTATTCTCAACCTATTCTCACATGTGTAAGTCAATCCCACCCCCAAATATCTCATATTGATACATAAAGGTACAAGTATGTATGTAAATACAAACATACAATCTACAACTTATTTTTCACACATACACAAACTTGCTACACTAAAAAAAGACACTGTCAGTATCAGCACACTTCAGAGCCTCATGTAGCTCTTGATGGGTTGCACTGTTGCCAACACTTGTGAAAATCAGCTTCAGGCCACGCATGTTAACATTTCCTTTTCTACTGCTAAAGACTTTGAAGACATATTTGAATGCTGCAAACATATAAAGCACAGCAAGATAGGTTTTTCACATGGTATTACTGAAAAGTGAATGAATACATGTGCAGTACTTCCTGAAACAAATGTCTACCAATTCCACAATCTCTGTCTACTTCCTTCAGCCATGCTAGCACTAGCCACCTTTTTGTCTCTTCCTAAAATTTTAGGTGTTTGGGTGCAAGAGCTTTCTTCCCTGTAACTTGTGCTATTTGGGCCTGTCTGTTTGCACATATCTGCATTGATTCATTGCTTTCATTTCAAATGGAAATGTCTTTCTATCCTATACTGTAGGAGGAGGTGACTTCTGAAATGTTTGGCTCTTTTCCATCTCATTATTACTGGTAATAGTCCTATTGAATGAACAATGTAAAATAATTATTAAATCTACTCTCAATCCCATAACTAAAGCCTGAATATAAGAGGAGGTGGGTCAATGAAATTCTACATTATCTGCTATTTGCTTCTGTGTGGGTGCATCCACATGTGCAATCAGTGTGTCTGAATAGACTCTGGCACAGTTTGTGCTGGAGTCAGCTGCTTCTGAGAGCAGTGTCTTTAAGCATGCCCAGGACTGTAGCAGTTAGAGGAGGGGCAGGCAAAATATGGCCTGAGGGCCGCATTTGGCCCACCAGGCCATTCTATCTGGCCTTAAAAAATGTAGAAAATTAATAATTATCTGCTCCTGGCTGCTTGTCAAAGATTACAGGAGCCCGGGGCAGTAGGACCCAGGGGAAGCTGGCAAGACCCAGAACCCAGCCCACCCCCGCCCCACACCCAGGCCCCTTCTAAGCCCTCCCCCTCCAAACTGTTTCTCTGCCCACCCGCCGGCTGCTCGAGCACCACATGGCCCGCAGATGCCTCACCTGACTGCAGGAGCATGGGGCCCACACCGATACCCTGGGGCCAAGACTGGGAGGGTGTGTGTGTGTGTCCATGCAATGAGGGAGGAAGAGACTGTGTGTGTTTGTGTTGTCCATGCAATAGTGGAGGGGGAGAGAGAGACAGAGAGCAATGAGGGAGGGAGAGAGTGTATGTGAGTGTGTGTGAGCAATGAGGGAGGCACAGAGAAAGAGAGAGAGAGAGAGTGAGTGCAATGAGGGAGGTGCAAAGTATGTGTGTAAAATGAGGGAGGCCCCCACACCCACACCCCTCACACAGCCCAGCCACCCTCCCCCACACACAACCCCTACAAACCCCAAATCCACCCACACCCCATATATCCACACACACCCCCATTCTCTCTCACTCCACCCCCACACCTATCCATCCCCAAACCACCCCCACACATGCATGCTACCCCACACCGCCACAGACCCCCACGTACCTATACACCCCCCCACAACATAGAAGAGTAAGACTTCATTTTAAGTTATTGTGCTATCATCTCTATGTACACTACACAAACACATGTAAATCAGGACAAAAGTATTTTTTGAAATCAAATTAATTAATGTTGTAGATGTTCAATTTTTAGAATATAATTTGGTATTTTTCTGGTTCTGAGATGGCAAAACCCCTTGCTGAATGGAGTATAGGTGACACGCGCCTTTCACAGGGGATACGAGAATGTATCCCCTGCTAATGGCGAAATCCATGAATAAGGCACGGCGTTCATGAATGCCGTCTGCGTTCATGAATGCAGTGCCCCCAGTGGCTGGGGGGGGGCGGGGGCATGGCTGCTCTGGCGACGATGGGAATACGGTGGCGGTGGAAGTGTGACGGTGGGAGCCCGGTGGTGGCAAGTACAGAGCTCCTTTAAGTGTATTTAAGATGCAGGCTTAGCATTTGCAAGTATTTGAAACTGTAAATGCTGAACCTGTGAATAGCAAGGGTTTCCTGTACTTTCTAGGGCAAGGGGAGGGACTTCTGGTGGCAAAGGTTGGGGGCTAGGGGTCAGGACTTCTGATCGCAAGATGGCAACCAGGGGGTGGGGCACCCATCAAGGGTCAGGGTTACCCATGTGGCCCTCTACAGCTTGCCAAAACTCAGTAAGCGACCCTCCGCCCAAAATAATTGCCTGCCCCAGGGGCTGCCAGAGAGACAGTGACCTCATAGAGGGCTGACATCAGCCTGCTGGGCAAATTCCAGAACCCCAGGCCAGAGGCTCAGACCTGAACAGACCTCCATGGTGGCAGGTCTCTCTGGCTGAAGCTCATACAGGTGAGGGAGAATCTGATTCTTATTTCTGGTCCCAGGGCCACCTCTCTTATTTGTCCATCCCTCCTGCCCCACAGGTGCCACCCCCAGAAACTCTCGGGTTTGGGCCAAGTGGCGCCATTGGGCCCCTCTCTCTGCCTGGTCCCCAACCCTTCCTCGTGCTTAATTAAATTAGTGTTATGGCCCTCCTTAGTCACAGTCTGTAAGGGCCTTGTCACAGGGTCCTAACATGCAACAACCTAGTAGAAATTTGGGTGTAAAAGCCAGTTGTGAGCTCTGCCAAATCTCAGCCAGTTCAGGCCCCCTGCAATGTTTGGACTCAGGACAAAATACCCAGTTGTACCCTTTTGATGGGTGGGGAGCTTTGATCCCCATATTCCCTTGGAGCTCTGTCTGTCTGTCCAGCTGTCTTTCACTCTGACTTGGGTGCCGCTGCACTGAAAACAAAAGGGCTGCTCCAAGGCTCATCTGCTGGGGATCAGGCACAAAATGCTGCAGAGCCAACAAGAGCTCCCCCCACCACTCCTCAGACTTCCAGAGGGGCCTTTCCTCCCTCCTCTAGTTCTCCCTTCCCTTTTCCTCCTGCCATTTCCCTGTTCCTATGTCTGTTTCTGCAAAGCAGCTGAGCTGTGCCTGAAGGGATCTGGGGGGGAGGCAACAAAGGACTGGGATTCTCCTCAGGTTCCTTCCAGGGAGGGCTCAGGTGGGTGGCAGAGACTCAGGGTCAGGAAGGAGAAGGGTGGGGCAGGAGGAGGAGGAGGGGCTTGACCTCTGCTTTTGGGTCCCCTCCAACTTGACTGCATCCCAGTTCAATTCTTCCTCATTCTTGGCTCCTTGCCAAGCATCCAAGCACTCATTGTCGCCCGTACTCCTTTGGATATCTAACATCTCACTACAAGGCCTTACTATACAATGCATGGAGAAGATGACTTAGAACATCTCATAGAAAAGAGAGATATGGAGCATGGCCCCCTTCCTGGCTCATAAGGGAAAGGTGCATCCTTCCACTCTCATTGTGCCCTCAAAAAGACAGGAGGTGGCCTGTGTTAATTCATCAGCAATATGCTCCACTGAAACAGTTTGCAAACTTCCAAACTATAGCTCACAAATGGTATTAGCAATTTCTTGGAATCCGTTAAAAATGCTACAAATGCTTTAGCAAAAAGAAACCCAGACAAAGGAGGGTGTGGGGCAGAAATTGATTGCAGCAGAAGTGATATTAATCAACCATTTGCATGTTTCTCGGGAGATTTAGCCAGGGTTTACATGGACTATGAAAAACTCAAAAGCTTCTTAGAAGAAAAACATCAGATGGATGGACAGAGAAAGTGACAGAGCAAAAAGAAAGAACTGCTTCATGAAGCAATGAAGGTTAGAAACAAAGCCACAGTAGAAATTATATGTGTGTGTGTGTGTGTGTGTGTGTGTGTGTGTATCATATATACCTTAACGAGGTAATTGGTAAATGGCTAGAGTCACTAGTAGCCAATGGAGTTGCTGGCAACTCTATTTAGAATTTCATAAAGAAGTTGATGACTACAGCCCCAATCTAACAACATGCACATGCTAGTTTCATAGCAGTAGTAGTTTGGGGGTCAGAAGGGACCTAAATAGATCATCTAGTCTAACCCCCCACCACTGGCCACAGCACACGCTGGGATCACGCGACCCCAGACAGGTGTTCATCAAACCTCTTTTTTAATTTACCCAAGATAGGAGCAAGGACCACTTCCCTAGGAAGTTGGTTCCAGATCCTAGCCACCCTAACAGTGAAATAGTGCCTCCTAATCTCTAACCTGAACCTATTCTCCAGCAGCTTCTGGCCATTGTTCCTCATCACGCCAGGTGCTGCTGGGGGGACTAGGGCCCTTCCTATTTGCTGCTGTTCTCCCCTAACGAATTTGTAGGCAGCCACCAAGTCCCCCCTCAGCCTCCATTTGCTGAGGCTGAACAGGTTCAGGTCCCTCAGCCTCTCCTCTTAGGGCCTGCCCTGTTGCCCTCCAACCAAGCTGATGGTCCTCCTCTGGACCCTCTCAAGGCAGGCCACATCCTTCTAAAAGTGCGGTGCCCAGAACTGGACGCAGTACTCCAATTGAGGCTGGACCAATGTTGTGTAGAGGGGGAGTACCACCTCTGGACCAGCTTGAGATGCATCTTTGGATGCACGACAAGTTGCGGTTGACTTTACTGGCTGCGTTCCGGCATTGGTGGCTCATGTTCATCTTGGAGTCAATAATGATTCCAAGATCCCTTTTTTGCCTCTGTGCTCACAAGCGGGGAGCTCCCCAGCTTGTATGTATGCTGTGGATTACCTTCTCCCCAGGTGCAGCACCCTGCATTTATCTACATTGAACCCCATCCTATTACCATCCGCCCACTTCTGTAGTCTGTCTAAATCTACTTGTAGCCTCTCTCTCCCTTCTAACGTGCCTACCTCTCCCCACATCTTGGTGTCATTGGCAAACTTAGACAACGTGTTTTCCACCCCCTTGTCCAAGTTGCTAATGAAGATGTTGAACAGTGTAGGCCCCAGGACCGAGCCCTGGGGTACCCCACTATTCACATCCCGCCAGGTCGAGTATGACCCATCCACTACCACTCTCTGGGTGTGCCCCATAAGCCAATTTTTGACCCATCCAACTGTGTAAGCATCAATGCCACAGTTGCTCAATTTATTAATGAGAATGGGGTGAGAGACAGTGTCAAAGGCCTCCTTAAAGTCTGGAAAGACTACGTCCACGGTGACACCATCATCCAGGGATTTAGTTACCTGGTTATAAAAGGCCATCAGGTTGGTCTGGCAGGACCTGCCTTTGATGAACCCATGTTGATTTCCCCTGGGCATGATCTCCCCTGCTGGCCCCTCACAGATGTGATCCTTGATAATTTTTTCAAGGATTTTCCCCAAAACCAATGTGAGGCTTATGGGCCTATCGTTTCCTGGGTCCTCCTTTCTCCCTTTCTTATAAATGGGGACCACATTAGCTAGTTTCCAATCTCTGGGCACCTGGCCCGTGGACCACGATCGCTCATACAGCCAGGCCAAGGTCACAGCAATGACCCGCACCAGCTCTCTCAACACCCTTGGGTGGAGGGCATCAGGGCCTGCAGATTTAAAAACATCCAGCCCTTCCAGAAGATCCCTAACTATTTCTGCGCAGACCTGAGGTCTGGCAGTGCTATCCCCAAGATTGCCTCTACCTGTGGTGGGAGAGCTGTCCTGGTCCCTGTCCAAGAAAACAGAGGCAAAGAACTTGTTAAAAATTTCGGCTTTCTCATCTGGCGTAGCCACAAGATTACCACCATTTGAGTCTAATAGGAGCCCTACATTACCCGGTGCCCTCTTCTTACTCGCAATGTATCTGAAGAAAGACTTTTTGTTGTCCTTAATCCTGGTTGCAAGCCTGAGCTCCACCCCTCCCTTGGCCTTCCTAACGGCCCTCCTACACTCACAGGCCAAGGAGGAGTATTCCTCCTTGGTGATGGCCCCTTTCTTCCACCGTGTGTACGCCTCCCTTTTGGCAATCAGGCATTCTCGAATGCCTTTGCTGAGCCATGGGGGTTTCAGAGCACTTTTACCCCCCTTCTTTCTCTCGGGGACTGTCACACTCTGAGCCTGGAGGATCATCCCCCTAAGGTACGAACATCCCTCATGGACTCCCATATCCTCTACCTTTTGGGCCCTCAGTGCCTCCTCCACTAATCTCCTAAATTCGTTGAAGTTGGCCCTTCTGAAGTCAGGGGCTTTAGTCTTGGTATAAGCCCTCAATACCCTGTGCTGGATGGTGAATTCCAGCAGGCGATGATCACTGTCACCCAGGTGGTCAAGGACCTGCAGTCCCCTCACCAGGTCATCCCCAGTGGCCAAGACCAGGTCCAGCAAGGCATCTCCCCTAGTGAGGCTGTGCACCTCCTAGATAAGGTGGAGGTCCTGTATTTCAGCTAGGAACCTACGCGGTCAGACCTGGCTGACTGCTCCTCCCAGCAGATATCTGGGTAGTTTAGATCCCCCCTGCTCTATTTCAAGAATGGCTGTGATCCCAGGGAACTCAATAGGACTGCTCCCATGATCATTTCTTAGCAATTTGCATCAATGTTTGCAGGATCAGGGTACAACAAACTCAGGGAGAAGCAATGCTTATCCTAGTTTGTCCCTCACTGACCTTTCCTGAACTGGCTGTTTCTTTATTGCCTATATTTCTTCTGCAAGATTTATATCCCACTTTATCCAAAAAGTTCTGGTGATACATGCCACTTTTCATGGGGGGCTGTTACTGTTTATCTTAAAAATTTGAATTGCACCGAGTAGACAGCTGTTGCCATGTAAAGAAGGGAGAATGACAGAATTAAACACATTTATTGTCCTTTCTCATTTATTTCTGCTGCAGAAAAACGGTGCACCGGGCAGCGCGTGAGGCAAGGGCCTTGGGGGTGCAATGAGTTGGCTCAGGCCCCATCTCCCAGCAAGCAGCCAGGTCCCATGGTGCACAGGGCAGCACATGGGCCCGAGCCTTGGGAGACAGAGAGCAGCGGAGGCTGCTTGGGTTAGCCACTTGGCATAAGGACAGCCAGCCAGAGCCTGAAGGGCCCTCGGTGCCGAAGCCAGGGCATGGGGAAATGGTAGTGCTGCAGTGTGAGGCCCAGCACCCAGAAGCCAGCAGCAGTGGTACAGCAGCTGAGAGGAGCTGAGCCCTTGGTGCCCAGAGCAGGGCACAGGGCAGGGAGGAGCCCAGCAGCATGGGAGAGGCCTGGCGAGGTGCTTCAGCAGAGGAGACCCCATCGAGCTACGCCCTGATGACCGCAACCTGGGGGAGCGTGAGTTATTGGGCACTTGGGGTCCCACAGGGGAGAGATGTTTGGGGCGGGCAAACCCAGAGAAGGGGCTGGGTGAGCAGCCCCCCCACCTAGTCAAGGCCCTAAGGGGAGGGGCCCCTGGTGCTTCCTGGACGCCCCCCACAAGGGACCCCATTGGAAGGAGGACTATCTCTTGCCATGGGTCAGGGACTATATTAAGGAATGGGTGTTATTAAGATTGTTCATGTTTGCACCTTATATTTTGTAATTGAAATGTTGTATTGTGATGTTGTAAATAGTGTTATTTAGGGTTTGACCTTGGTTATTGGTTAATGTTCACTGTGTAAATATACATATATGATATTTAGTTTTATGTTTATGTATATTATAACTCAATAAATTGTATATAGTTAAGAACTTTGGGCTTGGGCTAAATCTATAGAGCAGGGGTTGGCAACACCCTGCATGCCTGCCATTAATGGCATGCGGAGACATTTTTCCTGGCACGCTGGGAGGCACGCAAATAAATTGTTGTTTATTTATTTTTTTTAAGTTGCTGCTCCAGGCTGTGCAGCCACAAGTCCCAGCGCCGCAGCAGGCACCAGGGTAGAGCCAGAAGAACGCAGGCAGGGAGGCTGTCTGTGCTCTACTGTCCCTTGCTCCCACGCTGTACCCTCCAGCCCGGCTGGCCCATGGATGGAGCTGCCCAGGCAGGCAGACACCCTGTCCCACCTGGGGCAGCACTGAGGTGCCGAGTGCTGGGGCTGGGTGGTTGGGACAGGGTCTGGGCACCATGGGTGGAGGCGCCGTGGGCAAGCTAGCCCAGTCAGGCCCTTAGGAAGGTGGGGGTGGGCAGGAAGTGGGGGCGGCCCCGGGGCTCTGCAGGTTCGAGCTGTGGTGGGCAGGCAGGTGGGGCTGCCCAGCGGCACCTGTGGTGGGGCCTGGCTCAGCCCGTGCAGCTCCTCAGGGATGGGCCACAGCCCACCTGCACACATGGGGATGCTACCTAGCTGGGGCAGGTCGCCAGGCTCAGGGGGCTTCCATCTCCGGGATTGGCCTCTCTGCACACTGGGCACAGCACAGGCAGGGCAGAGCCATCCCCGGTGCAGGGGCCTGGCTGTGTAAGCCCCCGGGAGCCTGGGAACAGTCACCGTGGCTGCTTCAGCCTGCCTGGGTCCTGGCCTTGCCCACCCGCAGCTCACCTCAAGGGGCCAGGGCTGGGGCAGGCACTGTACAAAGCCGCTGCGCTGCAGGCTCCCAGCTGGCTCGGCCCTGAGCACTGGCTGCGGCGGCTGTTCCCAGAGCCCAGGGAACAGCCTGCGGCTGCAGCTCCCACTCGCACTGTACCCGGCTGGCACAGAGACCAAGCAGGGAGCTCCCTGGGCCCGGTGTCCTGCCCCAGCCAGGCAGCGTTCCTTCGTGGGCAGGGTGGCTGTGCCCCATCCCTGCAGAGCTGCGCAGGCTGGGTGGGCTCCAACTCTGGTGCTGCTGGGCCCGCTGCTGTGGCCCAAGTAGTGGAGCTCTGGGGCAGCCCCCGCTCCCCACCTGACACCAGCTCTCTATTTACTGTAAAAAAAAAAAAAAGCAACATTAATGATTATTCATTGTATTAAATATGCAGTGCATCCTGCCATGTACTCCCTCCACCCCAGTTTTGTTTTTGTGATGCGCCACAAGGTAGACATGGTGGTTTTTTCGGCACTCCGGCCAAAAAACATTGCCTACCCCTGCTATAGAAGAAAGAGGGATCCACTCAAAATTCTGGCATCCCTCTCACAGCACCCCCTCCTGCCTACCCATCCCATTCAATTGAGAATAGGGCACACCCTTGGGTGTACCCGGGTTACATAAAGAAAAGACGGCAAGTTACAAAACCATCTCATTAGGGAAGATATTTCTTCTGACTTCAGACAAGATTGCCCTGAAACAGTCATGTTGAGGAAATTCTTTTCACTGATCAATGTCCAGGGAAGAGTGCTAGGTTCTGAGGAACAAGTGCAAAGGGAAAGGCAAATGTCAAGGCAACTTCAAGTCCCTGAGCTTGTACAGCCCACATCAGGGGGCATTAGGGAACTGAGTTACTACACAGGAGCTCTAGGGCTCAAACCTTTTACATGCCTCCTGGACATACTAAACAAGTCAAGGGCCGTCTGCTCCAGAGTACCTTTACCCCAGATTGGCAAGCAGCTTGCAAGAAAGCTTTCCTTTTTTAGCTGATTTTTAAAACTGAAATCTTCATATTTTCCCAAGCAGGAAGCAACTGTGACCACCTGAAATCTGATATCCTGCTCCTGCCTTTGTTTCAAGGTAATTTGCATCATCACAGATCCTCACAGGAGGTGGGAGGCTCCATACCAGCTATGAACTGACTGCCCAGAGGAGTTTTCCATCTATTGACTCCTCTGTGAAATCCTATCAAATGTGAACTTTCATTTCTACCCAGGAGAACTTTTACAATCTTTTCTCCAATGCCTGATGAAGGTGTTTGTGCCCAAAAGCTTGTAATTAAAATTTTTTTTGCAAAACTCTTGTTGGTCTAATAAAAGATATCTCTGCTATGAGTCCTGATTGCCTTTTCCTCTAGATCAATATGGCTATAACCTGGACTCCTCATCATGCAGAAAGATATTTCCTGAAGAGAAAGTACCACATAAGGCAGTGCAGGGAACATGCAGTAAGTCCCTGCCAACATATGCAATTGAGCATCTGTCCTTGCAGTCACCGACCAGTATTTATGCTGATGCTTTTCTGAAAGAAATACATGATGAACTGATGAGCAAACTGGGCCCTTCAAAAAACCTACATGCTCAGGACAGTGCAATCCCTGGAAGTGATCCTTCACGTATCAGCGCAGATATAGTTGATTCAGTGTTAAATAAGCTTGTGGCAGCTACAGGTGAAGAACAACATCTACATCCAGAACACGAAGAAGCAGTTCATCGAGTTCGTTCTATTTCCAGGAATATTTTACAAAAATCTGGATCTGAGCAAGACCTTTATGATGATGTAACAGGTTGCAATGGATTTTTTCCTCAAGAAGTGGCTGCTGTAATAATTGAGGAACTCTCCTATTGCCCCCTTTTACAGGTTGTTAGTGATAGACCACTGACACTGAGCCAAAGTGTGTTGAACTCAGACAGAATTGCTGACAAGGTTCTTTCTCAAGTGTCTGTTAGTGCAAAGCCTAAGACAGAGAGTTTTGAAGAGGCAATCCCAGGTTCAAGTGCAAACGAGACCCAGAGACAAAGGAGCTGCCTGTGAAAATAATCCCACGGTAGAATCAAAATGTACCCATTTCTCCAGAGTTGGTGTCTGATCTTTACGAGTCATTTCCATAAAAACAAAACCTTTTGAAGAACTGCAAGAAGCATTCATTTCTCAAACTGGGGATGGTTTAAGAGACCTAAGAGCAACACTGGCTGGGAAGTGTCTTGAAGATGAAAGTTTGAGAGCTGAAGCACAGAGAAAAGAAGATAGTAATTTCTCTCTGGTTAGCACAGGACAACCAGTTGTAAGACCAGGAGGGGTAAGTAGAAAGAATAAGGCAGGGGCAATCCTGTTTTGTGAATGCCATTTTGCTTCTAACTGGATCTGTTGTTAAGATGTTCATGTGACATTGAAAGCCCACCTACTATGAATGCTGAATGCTCTTATAAAGGTAGTGGACCATCTCCTAGAGAGCCTGTAGTGGGCCATCAGTGTGGAGGACCCTTGCTAGCTGGGATTCTGAGTTAGTGGTCAGTAAATCCACTAATCTTAAATCTACTCTCTTTCCAAGAAATCCGTCTGGGGATAAGAAGAAGGCTGGAATCCCTTGGGTTAAGCACATGGGCAAAACAGCTACAGCTCTCTGCTTTGCTTACTGATGGCAGAGACTGGTTCCAAGGCAGCTGCTCTTCAAGCCAAAAGGGCTATTTGATATGAGTGGCTTTGCCTCCCGTGAAAAGCTTGGGTCAAAACTAGAGACTAACAAATATGGGGGCTGTGGGGTGGGTGTCCAGAGTGATGAGGATGGTTTCAGGAGCTTGTTCTCCATAGAACTGCAACTCTTATCCTCTTTCAAAGTAAAGCACGGAAGGTGTGTAAGAAATTATTTTGCTAAACCCAATTTCTGACCTTTGGATGGCTCGGACAATGGTTCCAAGATCCTACTTCTGAGTCCTGCTGCCCAAAATAAGGATAGCAGGCATGGAGTGTAAACCAAGCAATGAATGCAGGTAACTCAAATGTAAAAACAGTGACAGATAACCCAGACCCAGTTTATTTAGCAACCCATGGGATTGAGTAGTTGGGTCTCATCACAAAACCAGAGTTTCTATTTAGAGAGTGGGAACTGACCAGTTTGTGACACAGGCATGTTCATGTGTGTGTGGATTGATTAAAAAACCCCACTTCATTTGTGACCTTGCTAGAGCCCTGATCCAGGAAAAGACTTAAGTACAGAAATCTGACCGGAGTCAATAGAAGTACTCACAGGCTTCAATGATTTGCAATGTTTGGGCCTAGGGCAAAGAATCTCAGTATTTGCATAACTTGAAGCTGGAGCTAGTGGCCAATTGGAATTAATGGCACCTGCCTAGAAAAGTGTATTTAAATGCCTTCCTGAACTGGGACCTAGAAGAAGTAGTTGGTCTTAATAATTGACATGCATATTGGCTCCATAGTGTTTGTTTCTGATCTGCTTTCAAACAGAAAGTTGAAATGCAACAGACTGACAAAGCAGACTACAGAAAAAATATTAATTTCTAACTGTGTGCATTTGAGAGAATCTTCCACATTCTGGTAGCTAGGTCAGCCTCACAGTAAGCAGCTGCATGAGATTGTGTTTCTGGTGCTTACCAGGTGGTTCCCATCTGGCCTAGGACTCATCATCACTTAGGGCCAGATTCTGATGCCCTTCCCCAGGCTGAGGGGTGCTGAGCTTCCCAGGTTGTCTCAATGATTCAAATGAAGCTGCATGGGAGTAAGGCACAATACAATATAAAAGTGGCAGAATCCAGCATTACACCTCCTTTAGCCCTTAAAAGTCTTTTCTTGGCTACTGGCAGACATTGTGGCTGCAATCCTAGCTCCTTGAGGCCAAAAGCAAAATTCCCACCGACATAAGTATGGTCAGCCCTCCACACTGCAAGTATCTGCTTCCTTCCCTCTTGTTTTTGATATCCTTGCCCATCAGAGCAGAGGCCTTTACCTATTTTCGGCTTCATCTAGTTTTCATAGAACTTCACACAACTTGTTCCCCTTCTCAGTCTCCTTCCTGGTGATCACTCTTCCAAAAGAAGATGTGTTTTCATGGGTGACTGGTGCCACCTTAGTGGAGGTGTGTGTGGCCAATCTCACTGAATGGGAGGGTCCCCCTGTGACCAATTGCGCCGAATGCGAAGCAACCGTGGTGCTCCCAGAAGTGATCGCAGCACTCCCAGAAGTGGCCACAGCACTTCATCTGGCGCTTGCACTCCCCGGCTGGAGCTCACAGGATGGGTACTGGCACTCCTGCCTGCCCCGCTGCCAGTTGCCTAAGCAGGGAGCATGGCCTGTCGGGGTGTACCAGTGCTCTCAGGGGGTGCACGTCCAACAGCATCGCCACTGTTTGTCCTGAAGCCTGTGCCCATCCTGCTCTTGAGATGTCTATGCCCTCAGCATCTAAGCCATGTAGAAAGTACTGCCCCCTGCAGCCCGATATACACCACTGTAGGAACCGAAACCTGGGGCACCAGCCATGAAAGACCTCTGGCCCCTCTCAGCCTCCTCTGCACCCTGACTCCTAACTGCCCTAGGTGATGGGTCCCACCACCTGCCTCTTCTGTGTGGTTCTCCGTGGCCATTAACATTCATCCTGGGGTTAGGTCACTTTTTAGCCAATATCTGAACATGCTAGAAGTGCTCTCGGAGGTCCCCAGGACATACAAACAGGCCTAGTCATCCTGGGCCATTGTCAGTACGGCTGTGTGAAATGACACCATTCTGTTTCAATTTGCGTTTTGACATTTTGACAGAACAGCATTTTGTTTCGAAGTTCATTTTGATTTGAAGCCGCTGTTCCGTTTTGTTTTGTCGAAACAGTTTCGCTGTTTCAATGCTGTTTTGATGTTTCGCCCATAGGCTATACTGGGGAAGCTTGAAACAGCCTAGAACTTTGTCATTTCCAGCCTGATTTGGATGAAATTTGCCGGAATGGTAGCCCCTGCTGTGGCCACAAAGCCTGCCAAGTTTCAAGGAGATAGGTGCAGGGGTTTTGTGGAAACTGCACCCCAAGCAGCGGACAAGCAACACTCGTGACATGGGTGAGTGTTAAGGTGCAGCAGGGTGAAAGCTGCAGGCATGCTAGCCCCTGCTAAGGCCACGAAGCCTGCCAGCTGTCAAGGAGATAGGTGCAGGGGGAGTCTGGGTTCTGGAGGGCCCTTTACCTCTAGCAGCTGACAGGGAAAACTTGTGACATGGGTGTGTGACACTGTGTGTGTGTGTTAAGGTACACCCTCACTCAACTGACACCAAGGCAGAAAGCAGGGCAGTTCAAACAATGCTGCCTTTTATGCAGTTTTTCCACACCCCGTCGTAGAGCACTGGGATTGGAAGGGACCTCAGGGAAGGGTGACAGTCACTGGCCAGCTACACAGTCAATACTGAGAGCACTCCTTTTCCACCCCCCGCCCCTCCATCCCCATCCCTCTCCTTACTTTAGTTTCTGTTTCCCTGCAGGCAAGCCCAGCTTGAGCTTCGAAACTCGAAACGTTTTGAAAATTTCAAAATGTTTCAACTTGCCTTGTTTAATTTTGAGGTTGTTTTGAAGCTCTCTGTTTCATTTCGATTTCGCTGTTTCAAGCTCAAAGTGAGTTGAAACAGTGTCGAAATGAAACTGCCAGCAAAATTTTGCACAGCCCTAATTGTCAGGGCTCCAGCTGTTGGTTCAGTTCTGCCACTCCCCTGCTGGCGCCACAGCATCACTAGGTCAATCTTCCTTTTTAGAGCTGACCTGCTTTCAGTTTGCTCCAGCTCTGTTTGATCCATCTGCTCTGTGAGTAGCCTCATATCAATCCAGCTCTTTCAGCAAACAAGCGCAAAATACCCAGGAAAAGCTGGTTTAGAAAGGACCCTGAGGAGGTATCCTCTTCAAAAACTTTCCCTTTGATTTCAGGCTCAGCAGGTCCTAATTTAGGAAGGTGCTGAAGCCCGTGTTGAGCATTCTGAAAGCAGTCCAACCCAAGGTGGACCTCCCTGCACAACAGGCAGCCCACTACACTGAGAATAAGGAGAGAGAGGAGAAGGTGGAGGAAAAGCTTGAAGCAGAGCAACACTGGCACTGCACTATATTCTGCACTGGTCCAGTCCTGTAGGGAGCAGACCAGGAAAGCCAAGGCTGCAACTGAACTCCAACTAGCTTTGAGCATCAAGGACAATAAAAAGTCCTTTTTCAGATATGTGGGGAGTCGGAGGAAAAGCAGGGGCAACGTTGGACCCCTGCTGAATCAGTTGGGGCAACTGACAACTGAGGCCCAGGAAAAAGCCAACCTATTAAATAGGTACTTTGCGTCG